CCTTCTTCTTTTTCTTCGTCCTCATCATGATCATCAAACTCAACGACACTTGACTCATCGTTGTAGTTGCGCGGACCTTCATCAAACTTGTCTTCCATGAATGTGGCATCGCGACTGATCTTGATCGCTCCTGTTGACACTTCCTCAAATCGATATGACTTCTGGTGTTCGGCGTATCCCAGGAAACGACAGAGTGATGACTTGGAGTCGAACTTCGCGCGTTTGTCTTGAGGCACTTGAACATACGCGTGGCATCCAAACACTTTAAGGTTGGCCAGAATCGGTTTCTTCATCGTCCACACTTGATATGGAGACTTGTCTTGGTGAATGGCACGTGTTGGACAGCGGTTTCGAAGAAACATCGCCGTCATCACTGCTTCACCCCAGTAGCTCTTTCCCAGTCCAGCGTGTTCCATCATGCAACGCGCACACTCGACCAGCGTGCGATTCATTCTCTCAGCTACTCCGTTTAGCTGAGGAGTATATGGGGGTGTGAACCTTTGTTGTATTCCCCGTTCCGCGCAGAATCGTGCCAGCTTGTCGGACTTGTATTCACCCCCATTGTCGCTTTGAAGGTACTTCACGCGCTTTCCGGTTTGCGTTTCGGCCATCGCAGCGTATTCCATGAACTTCGCCGCAACTTCAGATTTGCTCTTGAGCAGATAGACGACACAGTATCTTGACTTGTCATCGATGAATGTCACGAAGTACCGTTTTCCACTGAAAGTTGCCATCGACATCGGTCCGCATACGTCGCTGTGAATCACTTCGAGGAGTTTGGAGGTGCGAGCTGTAGTGTTTGATTGGAAGCGCACTCGAGTCTGTTTTCCCAGAGCACAACCTTCACACACGTCCCACTTCTTCACCGAAGATATGTCGATGCCAATTCCAATGTTCTTCGTCACGATGCAATTGAGTCCATCGTGACCTATGTGGCCAAGCCGAAGGTGCCAGAGGTACGACTTGGTGCCCCCTTGACATCCCGACGACTTGGCTGCATTTGCTTGTTCCGGCGCCACTGGAGTCATTTGCAGCTTGAACAGTCCTTTACCTTCACGGGCACCAATTTTCCACTTGGTCCCTTTCGCTTCTCCATAGCACCCATCCTTCGTGAACGTCACTGGGCCGACATCCTTGGTGAAGCGGCCGACCGAGAACAGGTTTCTGGATAACTTTGGGATGTGCCACACGTTTGTGAGCACACCTTTCTTCATCCCTTGGGGTGTCTTCATCGACATGACAATGTCCCCACTGCCGATTGCTTGGACGATTCCATCATCCGCGAGATGGACATCCACAGCGTCAAACCCCTTGTAGTTCCGCATGAACTTCTTGGAGCACGTCATGTGCTGCGTCGCCCCGGAGTCGACCAGCCAGATGTCGCTCGATTTCGCAGATGTCGTTTCACCGATCGAAAAGAGGTAGTCGCCCGAGTCTTCTTCTTGAGCGACGTTTGCACGTTGTGATCGATAGCGGTCGCCGCTGTCTTGAGCACGCTGTGGCCGGTGTCTCTCCGTGTTTTCTTGGATGCGCGAGGGGCACTCCGCCATCCAGTGACCAATCTTTCCGCAATTGTGGCACGGCCAGGACTTCTTCACTGGTCGCCCTTTGCGCTGATTGTCCCTTGTGATGAACGCTTGACCTTGCGAAGCTTCATCACCTTTACTTCCTTGCTCCTTCCGCTTCATTTCTTCATGAAGCAGTCGAGACGTCACGAGCTCCCAGCTAAGAGTGTCTGAGCGCGACTCCAAAGCTGTGATCAAGAATTGATACGAGTCACTCAGGCTGCCGAGGAGTGTGATCACCAGATCGTCCTCGCAGACTGGAGCCCCCACCGCTTCTAGCTGTTCCGCCAGCGTCTTGAGCTTGTTGATGTGTTCGAGCACATCGTCGCCTTCTTCCATCATTGTCGTGAAGAAGCGACGGCGCAAGAACAGCTTGTTGGCAAGACTCTTCTTCTCGAAGTGGTCTTCCAACCTTGACCATGCGTCGCATGCACCACTTGCCGACCGGACCAACGGTAGCTGGGAATCTTCCATGGCTAGACAGATCACTGCCATCGCCTTTCTTGACTTCCTCTTGTACGTCGCTTGGTCCAACTGAGTCTCGCACTGTTCCGCCTTGATCTCACCGCTGACGACCTCCCATAGGTCCCGTTCCTCCAGCACCATCTGCATCTTGAACTTCCAGGCGTGGAAGTTAGTTCCATCGAACTTGGAGATGCGGAGGGAGGAGGCGTCCATGGCAGCTAAGCTTGAATTGTTGGCGGTTTCAGAGTCTGACGAACTTGGGCTCATAACCTGATGAACTTTAGACTTCTTGGTCCGAGTGCAAAACGCAAAGTGAATATATATTTATAATAGGTACTTAGTTCGCAACTTTGAATACTACCTCTAAGCCTATTATTCGCAGTGACGTCATCCAGTGACGTCACCCACTGACGTCACCCACTGACGTCATGCAATGACGTCATCCAGTGACGTCATTTCCTGACTTCGCCCTTACTGGTACATACCGGTACCCACCGGTATAGCGAAGCTTGGTCTTCCACTTGCTTCAACACTTGACGCAGCTTGACGAGGTGTCTTCTTCACAGCCGCTGTCTTTTTAACACTTTGACTGGACACTGGACCTACTGGACGTGGTGACAGCTTTGCTATGCGAAGAGATGAAGGAAAAGGTATTCTGCGAGATCCCAGAAGGGATCGAAGTTGATGAAGACTTTGACTGCTTCGAATTGTTGAAGGCGATCTACGGACTAAAACAAGCATCGCGCGTATGGAAGGAAATTTCTATGAGTTCGTCTGCTCCATTGGATTTCAAGTATCTCATTTTGACCCGTGTCTTTATCTCAAGATTACAAGTGGCGAGTGCGTGCTTTTGCTGGTATACGTCGATGATGTGTTGGTGACTGGCAGCTCGACCGAACTGATTATGCGCACCAAGAGTGGCTTGAAGGCGCGTTTCGAAATGACTGACAGCGGCAAGTGCGCATTCGTGTTGGGCATCGAGCTGGTGGACAACGACAACGGTAGCGTGACGATGTGCCAGCGACGCTACGTGGAAGATGTTCTCAAGCGTTTTGGCATGAGCGACTGCAAAGCCGTCACCAGCCCAACAGACATCAGTTCTTGACTCATACCAAGCAGTGCAGTAACCAAAATTGACGCCCCGTTTTGTGAAGCAGTAGGCGCTTTAATGCACTTGATGACCGCGACACGACCGGACATTGCCTTTGCTGTGAGTTACGTTTCGCGCTTCATGGAAAACCTCCAAGTCGAGCACTGGATGGCGGTCAAGCGCATTTTGCGATACTTACAAGGGACTAAGTCGGACGGCATCTGTTTCAAGTCTGATGACAAGATAGACTTCTGCGGCTACTCGGATGCAGACTGGGCCGGCGACCATGCAGACCGCAAGTCGACTTCGGGATATGCGCTCATCCTGATGGGTGATCCGGTGAGCTGGGGAAGCAAAAAGCAGTCAAGTGTGTCGCTGTCAACAAGTGAAGCTGAGTGCATTGCATTAAGTCTGGCTATTCAAGAAGGCAAGTGGGTGCATCGATTGCCATGCGAGATTCTGGATGCCGCAGAGGACAAGTCTGGACCCGAGCTCAAGATCATGGAAGACAACCAATCGTGCATCAAGATGACGAAGAATCCTGTGAACCATGGTCGGGCCAAGCACATCGACACTTGTGGTCCAATGGAAGTCGACTCGCTAGGTGGAAGCAAGTACTTGCTACTGACCGTAGATGAAGGCAGCGGATGTATGAAGGATTTCAGTCTGCGCGCCAATTCCGACAGCGAAGAGTGCATCAAGAAGTACATCGTGGCAGTACAGACGCAGTTTGACTACAAGGTCAAGTTCGTTCGCCACGATGGTGCACGCGAATCTGTGGCAAATTCGCTCAAGGCATTTTACGATGATCAACGAATCGAGCAGCAAGTTACCGTTCCATATGCGCATCAGACCAACGGCACGGCGGAACGGGCAATTCGGACCATTGTGACGATCGGGCGCAGCATGCTTCACTACGCCAAGCTGGACAAGTTTTTTTGAGTTGAAGCAGCAATGACGGCGATCTACATCAAGAATCGCCTACCATCGCCCAAGTGCCAAGATCAAACCCCGTTCGAGATCGTCAACGGATTTCGACCAAGTGTGAAGCACATGCGGGTTTTCGGCTGCCGAACGTTTGTGCTGACCCCTAAGGAAAAGAGATCGAAATGGGATCCAAAGGCTCGTGAAGGACGATTCATGGGGTACGAAGAAGTGTCAAAGGCATATCGCGTTTACGACATTGAAGCGGATCAAGTGGTGATATCTCGCGATGTCACATTCGACGAACCAACGTTTGGTTTCTCGCCGACGCTACCACAAGAAATTGTTGATGACACTGCGCTGGATATCGAATCGATGAACATTAGCGATGAGCCTCACCCTATGGAGTTCAAGCAAATTGGAAAACGCAAAAGCCGTTCAAACAGCCAAGAACAAGCTCTACAACGGACACTTCCTGAGCGTCGTGGAACCGGGTTCGAAGAAGCAAGTGCACCGGATGACTTTGAAACGCACCAAGCGAAGCGACGGTCAAGCGCTCGAGCAAATCTGGACGAAGAGCAGAAGGGCAGTGACGAAGATAACGAGGATGCTACACCTCAAGTCTTTTGGCGAGCGAGTGTCAACGCAGTCGAAGGTACTGACTTGTCTGAGCCGACAACGTTTAAAGATGCTGTTGATGGACCGGATCAAGTGCATTGGTGTGAAGCAATCTGTGCTGAGTTGGACTCGATGAAACTTCGTGGCGTGCTTCGAGCGCCCAAACAGCCAGCTGGACAGCATACCATTGGCACCAAGTGGGTATTCAATATCAAGCGGAAAGCTGATGGATCCATCGAGAAATACAAGGCGCGTCTCGTGGCAAAAGGGTTCAAGCAGAAATATGGCATCGACTACACGGAGACGTTTTTCCGGTAGTCAAGTACGTGACGCTGCGCATGGTAGTTGCAATCACGAAGTACTTTGACTGGACACTGGACCTACTGGACGTGGTGACAGCTTTGCTATGCGAAGAGATGAAGGAAAAGGTATTCTGCGCGATCCCAGAAGGGGTCGAAGTTGATGAAGACTTTGACTGCTTCGAATAGTTGAAGGCGATCTACGGACTAAAACAAGCATCGCGCGTATGGAAGGAAATTTCTATGAGTTCGTCTGCTCCATTGGATTTCAAGTATCTCATTTTGACCCGTGTCTTTATCTCAAGATTACAAGTGGCGAGTGCGTGCTTTTGCTGGTATACGTCGATGATGTGTTGGTGACTGGCAGCTCGACCGAACTGATTATGCGCACCAAGAGTGGCTTGAAGGCGCGTTTCGAAATGACTGACAGCGGCAAGTGCGCATTCGTGTTGGGCATCGAGCTGGTGGACAACGACAACGGTAGCGTGACGATGTGCCAGCGACGCTACGTGGAAGATGTTCTCAAGCGTTTTGGCATGAGCGACTGCAAAGCCGTCACCAGCCCAACAGACATCAGTTCTTGACTCATACCAAGCAGTGCAGTAACCAAAATTGACGCCCCGTTTTGTGAAGCAGTAGGCGCTTTAATGCACTTGATGACCGCGACACGACCGGACATTGCCTTTGCTGTGAGTTACGTTTCGCGCTTCATGGAAAACCTCCAAGTCGAGCACTGGATGGCGGTCAAGCGCATTTTGCGATACTTACAAGGGACTAAGTCGGACGGCATCTGTTTCAAGTCTGATGACAAGATAGACTTCTGCGGCTACTCGGATGTGATGAACTTTAGACTTCTTGGTCCGAGTGCAAAACGCAAAGTGAATATATATTTATAATAGGTACTTAGTTCGCAACTTTGAATACTACCTCTAAGCCTATTATTCGCAGTGACGTCATCCAGTGACGTCACCCACTGACGTCACCCACTGACGTCATGCAATGACGTCATCCAGTGACGTCATTTCCTGACTTCGCCCTTACTGGTACATACCGGTACCCACCGGTATAGCGAAGCTTGGTCTTCCACTTGCTTCAACACTTGACGCAGCTTGACGAGGTGTCTTCTTCACAGCCGCTGTCTTTTCAACACTCCCTCTCGACTCGTTAGCTGCGGCACCTTGGATCCCAAGTCGATCGCGAATGTTTTCAAATTGTACAGCGGCGATCGGCTTGGTCATCATGTCTGCCAGCATATCTTGAGTCGGGCAATACTCCAAAACGACTTCACCTGATTCCACCTTCTCACGCACAAAATGGTAGCGTATGTCGATGTGTTTTGTTCTCTTATGGAACTCCGGGTTCTTGGCGAGAGCGATTGATCCTTGGTTGTCTTCATACATCTTGATCGCTTCGTCGCTTGTCATCTCACCAAGTTCCCCCAAAAGCACTTTGAGCCATACTGCTTCTTTGGTTGCTTCGGAAAGCGCCATGTATTCTGCTTCTGTTGAAGATAGCGCGACCGTCCGTTGTTTCTGGCTTTTCCAGCTGATGCATCCTCCGCTCATCATGAACACATAGCCGCTTGTACTTCGTCTTGACTCAATGTCGCCGGCCCAGTCTGCGTCGGTGTACCCGCAGATACGGCTTCCTTCTTCACGTGTAAACTCAAGACCATGATTGGGCGTTGCTTGCAGGTATCTCAGCACACGCTTCAAAGCTTGCCAGTGAGTCGGGCATGGGTCGGACGAGAACTGGGATAATGATCCCACTGCAGCAGCTAGATCCGGACGTGTGGCGACCATGAGATACATGATGCCTCCGACAGCACTTCGATATGGCACGTTGCACATGGTGTCTTCGTGCTTGCATTCTTGTTCACACATGTTCTTGGTTAGCTTCAGGCCGGGATCTTGAGGCGTCTTCACTGGCTTGCTGTTATCCATTCCGAACTTGGTTAACACGGACTTGAGAAACTTGGTTTGTTGTACAGTCACCATTCCCGTCTTACGGTCGTTCTTGATCTCCATGCCGAGAAAGTAATCGAGCTCACCGAGATCCGTCATTTCGAAGCGTTTGCTCAGCGCCATCTTGGTTGACTTGAGGAGTTCGTTGTTGCTGCTGGCCAGGATGAGATCATCGACGTAGAGCACCACGAGAATCATGTCTTGGTCGTCTCGCTTGATGTAGATGCAGTGGTCCGATTCGCACTTCTTGAATCCCATCTTGATCATGAACCCATCGATTGTTTGGTTCCACATGCGAGGCGATTGCTTCAAGCCGTAGAGTGATCTCTTTAGCTTGCACACATAGTCCGGCTGTGTTGCATCCAGGTATCCGTCCGGCTGGTCCATGTAGATGTCTTCGTTGAGGGAGCCGTTAAGAAACGCTGTCTTGACGTCCATCTGATGTAGCATTAGGCCGTACTTAGCCGCCATACTGAGCACCACACGAATCGATGTGAACTTGGCCACCGGTGCGAAAGTTTCTTCATAGTCAACTCCGAATTTCTGTGAGAATCCTTTGGCCACAAGTCTTGCCTTGAAACGTTCAACTTCGCCATCTTGATTCTCCTTTACACGAAAAACCCATCGGCACCCGATGGCCTTGCGACCTTTCGGAAGAGGCACGATTTCCCACGTGTCGTTTCTCTGAAGCGAATCGAACTCCGAGTCACACGCTTCTTTCCACTTGCCGGAGTCGCTTGATTCCATCGCCGACTTGAATGTAGTCGGCGTTTCCCCCACTGAATCAACGATGTAGGCTGCTTCAAAATCCATTGCAGCCGCTGACACATGCTCAAGCGACGGACCTCTGTATGTTCTTCGCTTGGGACTTGGAATGACGGTAGCTTTCTCAAGTGATTGAGTGCGCGTGTGTCTCTTGATGTTGCTCTTCGAAGACCTGGTGTCTTCGTTGTCATCGTCGCTCGAGTCCATGTCGTCGTCAGTTTTACCTTCTTCTTTTTCTTCGTCCTCATCATGATCATCAAACTCAACGACACTTGACTCATCGTTGTAGTTGCGCGGACCTTCATCAAACTTGTCTTCCATGAATGTGGCATCGCGACTGATCTTGATCGCTCCTGTTGACACTTCCTCAAATCGATATGACTTCTGGTGTTCGGCGTATCCCAGGAAACGACAGAGTGATGACTTGGAGTCGAACTTCGCGCGTTTGTCTTGAGGCACTTGAACATACGCGTGGCATCCAAACACTTTAAGGTTGGCCAGAATCGGTTTCTTCATCGTCCACACTTGATATGGAGACTTGTCTTGGTGAATGGCACGTGTTGGACAGCGGTTTCGAAGAAACATCGCCGTCATCACTGCTTCACCCCAGTAGCTCTTTCCCAGTCCAGCGTGTTCCATCATGCAACGCGCACACTCGACCAGCGTGCGATTCATTCTCTCAGCTACTCCGTTTAGCTGAGGAGTATATGGGGGTGTGAACCTTTGTTGTATTCCCCGTTCCGCGCAGAATCGTGCCAGCTTGTCGGACTTGTATTTGTTGAAAAGACAGCGGCTGTGAAGAAGACACCTCGTCAAGCTGCGTCAAGTGTTGAAGCAAGTGGAAGACCAAGCCTCGCTATACCGGTGGGTACCGGTATGTACCAGTAAGGGCGAAGTCAGGAAATGACGTCACTGGATGACGTCATTGCATGACGTCAGTGGGTGACGTCAGTGGGTGACGTCACTGGATGACGTCACTGCGAATAATAGGCTTAGAGGTAGTATTCAAAGTTGCGAACTAAGTACCTATTATAAATATATATTCACTTTGCGTTTTGCACTCGGACCAAGAAGTCTAAAGTTCATCAGGTTATGAGCCCAAGTTCGTCAGACTCTGAAACCGCCAACAATTCAAGCTTAGCTGCCATGGACGCCTCCTCCCTCCGCATCTCCAAGTTCGATGGAACTAACTTCCACGCCTGGAAGTTCAAGATGCAGATGGTGCTGGAGGAACGGGACCTATGGGAGGTCGTCAGCGGTGAGATCAAGGCGGAACAGTGCGAGACTCAGTTGGACCAAGCGACGTACAAGAGGAAGTCAAGAAAGGCGATGGCAGTGATCTGTCTAGCCATGGAAGATTCCCAGCTACCGTTGGTCCGGTCGGCAAGTGGTGCATGCGACGCATGGTCAAGGTTGGAAGACCACTTCGAGAAGAAGAGTCTTGCCAACAAGCTGTTCTTGCGCCGTCGCTTCTTCACGACAATGATGGAAGAAGGCGACGATGTGCTCGGAACGCATCAACAAGCTCAAGACGCTGGCGGAACAGCTAGAAGCGGTGGGGGCTCCAGTCTGCGAGGACGATCTGGTGATCACACTCCTCGGCAGCCTGAGTGACTCGTATCAATTCTTGATCACAGCTTTGGAGTCGCGCTCAGACACTCTTAGCTGGGAGCTCGTGACGTCTCGACTGCTTCATGAAGAAATGAAGCGGAAGGAGCAAGGAATTAAAGGTGATGAAGCTTCGCAAGGTCAAGCGTTCATCACAAGGGACAATCAGCGCAAAGGGCGACCAGTGAAGAAGTCCTGGCCGTGCCACAATTGCGGAAAGATTGGTCACTGGATGGCGGAGTGCCCCTCGCGCATCCAAGAAAACACGGAGAGACACCGGCCACAGCGTGCTCAAGACAGCGGCGACCGCTATCGATCACAACGTGCAAACGTCGCTCAAGAAGAAGACTCGGGCGACTACCTCTTTTCGATCGGTGAAACGACATCTGCGAAATCGAGCGACATCTGGCTGGTCGACTCCGGGGCGACGCAGCACATGACGTGCTCCAAGAAGTTCATGCGGAACTACAAGGGGTTTGACGCTGTGGATTTCCATCTCGCGGATGATGGAATCGTCCAAGCAATCGGCAGTGGGGACATTGTCATGTCGATGAAGACACCCCAAGGGATGAAGAAAGGTGTGCTCACAAACGTGTGGCACATCCCAAAGTTATCCAGAAACCTGTTCTCGGTCGGCCGCTTCACCAAGGATGTCGGCCCAGTGACGTTCACGAAGGATGGGTGCTATGGAAAAGCGAAAGGGACCAAGTGGAAAATTGGCGCCCGTGAAGGTAAAGGACTGTTCAAGCTGCAAATGACTCCAGTGGCGCCGGAACAAGCAAATGCAGCCAAGTCGTCGGGATGTCAAGGGGGCACCAAGTCGTACCTCTGGCACCTTCGGCTTGGCCACATAGGTCACGATGGACTCAATTGCATCGTGACGAAGAACATTGGAATTGGCATCGACATATCTTCGGTGAAGAAGTGGGACGTGTGTGAAGGTTGTGCTCTGGGAAAACAGACTCGAGTGCGCTTCCAATCAAACACTACAGCTCGCACCTCCAAACTCCTCGAAGTGATTCACAGCGACGTATGCGGACCGATGTCGATGGCAACTTTCAGTGGAAAACGGTACTTCGTGACATTCATCGATGACAAGTCAAGATACTGTGTCGTCTATCTGCTCAAGAGCAAATCTGAAGTTGCGGCGAAGTTCATGGAATACGCTGCGATGGCCGAAACGCAAACCGGAAAGCGCGTGAAGTACCTTCAAAGCGACAATGGGGGTGAATACAAGTCCGACAAGCTGGCACGATTCTGCGCGGAACGGGGAATACAACAAAGGTTCACACCCCCATATACTCCTCAGCTAAACGGAGTAGCTGAGAGAATGAATCGCACGCTGGTCGAGTGTGCGCGTTGCATGATGGAACACGCTGGACTGGGAAAGAGCTACTGGGGTGAAGCAGTGATGACGGCGATGTTTCTTCGAAACCGCTGTCCAACACGTGCCATTCACCAAGACAAGTCTCCATATCAAGTGTGGACGATGAAGAAACCGATTCTGGCCAACCTTAAAGTGTTTGGATGCCACGCGTATGTTCAAGTGCCTCAAGACAAACGCGCGAAGTTCGACTCCAAGTCATCACTCTGTCGTTTCCTGGGATACGCCGAACACCAGAAGTCATATCGATTTGAGGAAGTGTCAACAGGAGCGATCAAGATCAGTCGCGATGCCACATTCATGGAAGACAAGTTTGATGAAGGTCCGCGCAACTACAACGATGAGTCAAGTGTCGTTGAGTTTGATGATCATGATGAGGACGAAGAAAAAGAAGAAGGTAAAACTGACGACGACATGGACTCGAGCGACGATGACAACGAAGACACCAGGTCTTCGAAGAGCAACATCAAGAGACACACGCGCACTCAATCACTTGAGAAAGCTACCGTCATTCCAAGTCCCAAGCGAAGAACATACAGAGGTCCGTCGCTTGAGCATGTGTCAGCGGCTGCAATGGATTTTGAAGCAGCCTACATCGTTGATTCAGTGGGGGAAACGCCGACTACATTCAAGTCGGCGATGGAATCAAGCGACTCCGGCAAGTGGAAAGAAGCGTGTGACTCGGAGTTCGATTCGCTTCAGAGAAACGACACGTGGGAAATCGTGCCTCTTCCGAAAGGTCGCAAGGCCATCGGGTGCCGATGGGTTTTTCGTGTAAAGGAGAATCAAGATGGCGAAGTTGAACGTTTCAAGGCAAGACTTGTGGCCAAAGGATTCTCACAGAAATTCGGAGTTGACTATGAAGAAACTTTCGCACCGGTGGCCAAGTTCACATCGATTCGTGTGGTGCTCAGTATGGCGGCTAAGTACGGCCTAATGCTACATCAGATGGACGTCAAGACAGCGTTTCTTAACGGCTCCCTCAACGAAGACATCTACATGGACCAGCCGGACGGATACCTGGATGCAACACAGCCGGACTATGTGTGCAAGCTAAAGAGATCACTCTACGGCTTGAAGCAATCGCCTCGCATGTGGAACCAAACAATCGATGGGTTCATGATCAAGATGGGATTCAAGAAGTGCGAATCGGACCACTGCATCTACATCAAGCGAGACGACCAAGACATGATTCTCGTGGTGCTCTACGTCGATGATCTCATCCTGGCCAGCAGCAACAACGAACTCCTCAAGTCAACCAAGATGGCGCTGAGCAAACGCTTCGAAATGACGGATCTCGGTGAGCTCGATTACTTTCTCGGCATGGAGATCAAGAACGACCGTAAGACGGGAATGGTGACTGTACAACAAACCAAGTTTCTCAAGTCCGTGTTAACCAAGTTCGGAATGGATAACAGCAAGCCAGTGAAGACGCCTCAAGATCCCGGCCTGAAGCTAACCAAGAACATGTGTGAACAAGAATGCAAGCACGAAGACACCATGTGCAACGTGCCATATCGAAGTGCTGTCGGAGGCATCATGTATCTCATGGTCGCCACACGTCCGGATCTAGCTGCTGCAGTGGGATCATTATCCCAGTTCTCGTCCGACCCATGCCCGACTCACTGGCAAGCTTTGAAGCGTGTGCTGAGATACCTGCAAGCAACGCCCAATCATGGTCTTGAGTTTACACGTGAAGAAGGAAGCCGTATCTGCGGGTACACCGACGCAGACTGGGCCGGCGACATTGAGTCAAGACGAAGTACAAGCGGCTATGTGTTCATGATGAGCGGAGGATGCATCAGCTGGAAAAGCCAGAAACAACGGACGGTCGCGCTATCTTCAACAGAAGCAGAATACATGGCGCTTTCCGAAGCAACCAAAGAAGCAGTATGGCTCAAGGTGCTTTTGGGGGAACTTGGTGAGATGACAAGCGACGAAGCGATCAAGATGTATGAAGACAACCAAGGATCAATCGCTCTCGCCAAGAACCCGGAGTTCCATAAGAGAACCAAACACATCGACATACGCTACCATTTTGTGCGTGAGAAGGTGGAATCAGGTGAAGTCGTTTTGGAGTATTGCCCGACTCAAGATATGCTGGCAGACATGATGACCAAGCCGATCGCCGCTGTACAATTTGAAAACATTCGCGATCGACTTGGGATCCAAGGTGCCGCAGCTAACGAGTCGAGAGGGAGTGTTGAAAAGACAGCGGCTGTGAAGAAGACACCTCGTCAAGCTGCGTCAAGTGTTGAAGCAAGTGGAAGACCAAGCCTCTCGCTATACCGGTGGGTACCGGTATGTACCAGTAAGGGCGAAGTCAGGAAATGACGTCACTGGATGACGTCATTGCATGACGTCAGTGGGTGACGTCAGTGGGTGACGTCACTGGATGACGTCACTGCGAATAATAGGCTTAGAGGTAGTATTCAAAGTTGCGAACTAAGTACCTATTATAAATATATATTCACTTTGCGTTTTGCACTCGGACCAAGAAGTCTAAAGTTCATCAGTATTCACCCCCATTGTCGCTTTGAAGGTACTTCACGCGCTTTCCGGTTTGCGTTTCGGCCATCGCAGCGTATTCCATGAACTTCGCCGCAACTTCAGATTTGCTCTTGAGCAGATAGACGACACAGTATCTTGACTTGTCATCAATGAATGTCACGAAGTACCGTTTTCCACTGAAAGTTGCCATCGACATCGGTCCGCATACGTCGCTGTGAATCACTTCGAGGAGTTTGGAGGTGCGAGCTGTAGTGTTTGATTGGAAGCGCACTCGAGTCTGTTTTCCCAGAGCACAACCTTCACACACGTCCCACTTCTTCACCGAAGATATGTCGATGCCAATTCCAATGTTCTTCGTCACGATGCAATTGAGTCCATCGTGACCTATGTGGCCAAGCCGAAGGTGCCAGAGGTACGACTTGGTGCCCCCTTGACATCCCGACGACTTGGCTGCATTTGCTTGTTCCGGCGCCACTGGAGTCATTTGCAGCTTGAACAGTCCTTTACCTTCACGGGCACCAATTTTCCACTTGGTCCCTTTCGCTTCTCCATAGCACCCATCCTTCGTGAACGTCACTGGGCCGACATCCTTGGTGAAGCGGCCGACCGAGAACAGGTTTCTGGATAACTTTGGGATGTGCCACACGTTTGTGAGCACACCTTTCTTCATCCCTTGGGGTGTCTTCATCGACATGACAATGTCCCCACTGCCGATTGCTTGGACGATTCCATCATCCGCGAGATGGACATCCACAGCGTCAAACCCCTTGTAGTTCCGCATGAACTTCTTGGAGCACGTCATGTGCTGCGTCGCCCCGGAGTCGACCAGCCAGATGTCGCTCGATTTCGCAGATGTCGTTTCACCGATCGAAAAGAGGTAGTCGCCCGAGTCTTCTTCTTGAGCGACGTTTGCACGTTGTGATCGATAGCGGTCGCCGCTGTCTTGAGCACGCTGTGGCCGGTGTCTCTCCGTGTTTTCTTGGATGCGCGAGGGGCACTCCGCCATCCAGTGACCAATCTTTCCGCAATTGTGGCACGGCCAGGACTTCTTCACTGGTCGCCCTTTGCGCTGATTGTCCCTTGTGATGAACGCTTGACCTTGCGAAGCTTCATCACCTTTACTTCCTTGCTCCTTCCGCTTCATTTCTTCATGAAGCAGTCGAGACGTCACGAGCTCCCAGCTAAGAGTGTCTGAGCGCGACTCCAAAGCTGTGATCAAGAATTGATACGAGTCACTCAGGCTGCCGAGGAGTGTGATCACCAGATCGTCCTCGCAGACTGGAGCCCCCACCGCTTCTAGCTGTTCCGCCAGCGTCTTGAGCTTGTTGATGTGTTCGAGCACATCGTCGCCTTCTTCCATCATTGTCGTGAAGAAGCGACGGCGCAAGAACAGCTTGTTGGCAAGACTCTTCTTCTCGAAGTGGTCTTCCAACCTTGACCATGCGTCGCATGCACCACTTGCCGACCGGACCAACGGTAGCTGGGAATCTTCCATGGCTAGACAGATCACTGCCATCACCTTTCTTGACTTCCTCTTGTACGTCGCTTGGTCCAACTGAGTCTCGCACTGTTCCGCCTTGATCTCACCGCTGACGACCTCCCATAGGTCCCGTTCCTCCAGCACCATCTGCATCTTGAACTTCCAGGCGTGGAAGTTAGTTCCATCGAACTTGGAGATGCGGAGGGAGGAGGCGTCCATGGCAGCTAAGCTTGAATTGTTGGCGGTTTCAGAGTCTGACGAACTTGGGCTCATAACCTGATGAACTTTAGACTTCTTGGTGATGAACTTTAGACTTCTTGGTCCGAGTGCAAAACGCAAAGTGAATATATATTTATAATAGGTACTTAGTTCGCAACTTTGAATACTACCTCTAAGCCTATTATTCGCAGTGACGTCATCCAGTGACGTCACCCACTGACGTCACCCACTGACGTCATGCAATGACGTCATCCAGTGACGTCATTTCCTGACTTCGCCCTTACTGGTACATACCGGTACCCACCGGTATAGCGAAGCTTGGTCTTCCACTTGCTTCAACACTTGACGCAGCTTGACGAGGTGTCTTCTTCACAGCCGCTGTCTTTTCAACACTCCCTCTCGACTCGTTAGCTGCGGCACCTTGGATCCCAAGTCGATCGCGAATGTTTTCAAATTGTACAGCGGCGATCGGCTTGGTCATCATGTCTGCCAGCATATCTTGAGTCGGGCAATACTCCAAAACGACTTCACCTGATTCCACCTTCTCACGCACAAAATGGTAGCGTATGTCGATGTGTTTTGTTCTCTTATGGAACTCCGGGTTCTTGGCGAGAGCGATTGATCCTTGGTTGTCTTCATACATCTTGATCGCTTCGTCGCTTGTCATCTCACCAAGTTCCCCCAAAAGCACCTTGAGCCATACTGCTTCTTTGGTTGCTTCGGAAAGCGCCATGTATTCTGCTTCTGTTGAAGATAGCGCGACCGTCCGTTGTTTCTGGCTTTTCCAGCTGATGCATCCTCCGCTCATCATGAACACATATCCGCTTGTACTTCGTCTTGACTCAATGTCGCCGGCCCAGTCTGCGTCGGTGTACCCGCAGATACGGCTTCCTTCTTCACGTGTAAACTCAAGACCATGATTGGGCGTTGCTTGCAGGTATCTCAGCACACGCTTCAAAGCTTGCCAGTGAGTCGGGCATGGGTCGGACGAGAACTGGGATAATGATCCCACTGCAGCAGCTAGATCCGGACGTGTGGCGACCATGAGATACATGATGCCTCCGACAGCACTTCGATATGGCACGTTGCACATGGTGTCTTCGTGCTTGCATTCTTGTTCACACATGTTCTTGGTTAGCTTCAGGCCGGGATCTTGAGGCGTCTTCACTGGCTTGCTGTTATCCATTCCGAACTTGGTTAACACGGACTTGAGAAACTTGGTTTGTTGTACAGTCACCATTCCCGTCTTACGGTCGTTCTTGATCTCCATGCCGAGAAAGTAATCGAGCTCACCGAGATCCGTCATTTCGAAGCGTTTGCTCAGCGCCATCTTGGTTGACTTGAGGAGTTCGTTGTTGCTGCTGGCCAGGATGAGATCATCGACGTAGAGCACCACGAGAATCATGTCTTGGTCGTCTCGCTTGATGTAGATGCAGTGGTCCGATTCGCACTTCTTGAATCCCATCTTGATCATGAACCCATCGATTGTTTGGTTCCACATGCGAGGCGATTGCTTCAAGCCGTAGAGTGATCTCTTTAGCTTGCACACATAGTCCGGCTGTGTTGCATCCAGGTATCCGTCCGGCTGGTCCATGTAGATGTCTTCGTTGAGGGAGCCGTTAAGAAACGCTGTCTTGACGTCCATCTGATGTAGCATTAGGCCGTACTTGGCCGCCATACTGAGCACCACACGAATCGATGTGAACTTGGCCACCGGTGCGAAAGTTTCTTCATAGTCAACTCCGAATTTCTGTGAGAATCCTTTGGCCACAAGTCTTGCCTTGAAACGTTCAACTTCGCCATCTTGATTCTCCTTTACACGAAAAACCCATCGGCACCCGATGGCCTTGCGACCTTTCGGAAGAGGCACGATTTCCCACGTGTCGTTTCTCTGAAGCGAATCGAACTCCGAGTCACACGCTTCTTTCCACTTGCCGGAGTCGCTTGATTCCATCGCCGACTTGAATGTAGTCGGCGTTTCCCCCACTGAATCAACGATGTAGGCTGCTTCAAAATCCATTGCAGCCGCTGACACATGCTCAAGCGACGGACCTCTGTATGTTCTTCGCTTGGGACTTGGAATGACGGTAGCTTTCTCAAGTGATTGAGTGCGCGTGTGTCTCTTGATGTTGCTCTTCGAAGACCTGGTGTCTTCGTTGTCATCGTCGCTCGAGTCCATGTCGTCGTCAGTTTTACCTTCTTCTTTTTCTTCGTCCTCATCATGATCATCAAACTCAACGACACTTGACTCATCGTTGTAGTTGCGCGGACCTTCATCAAACTTGTCTTCCATGAATGTGGCATCGCGACTGATCTTGATCGCTCCTGTTGACACTTCCTCAAATCGATATGACTTCTGGTGTTCGGCGTATCCCAGGAAACGACAGAGTGATGACTTGGAGTCGAACTTCGCGCGTTTGTCTTGAGGCACTTGAACATACGCGTGGCATCCAAACACTTTAAGGTTGGCCAGAATCGGTTTCTTCATCGTCCACACTTGATATGGAGACTTGTCTTGGTGAATGGCACGTGTTGGACAGCGGTTTCGAAGAAACATCGCCGTCATCACTGCTTCACCCCAGTAGCTCTTTCCCAGTCCAGCGTGTTCCATCATGCAACGCGCACACTCGACCAGCGTGCGATTCATTCTCTCAGCTACTCCGTTTAGCTGAGGAGTATATGGGGGTGTGAACCTTTGTTGTATTCCCCGTTCCGCGCAGAATCGTGCCAGCTTGTCGGACTTGTATTCACCCCCATTGTCGCTTTGAAGGTACTTCACGCGCTTTCCGGTTTGCGTTTCGGCCATCGCAGCGTATTCCATGAACTTCGCCGCAACTTCAGATTTGCTCTTGAGCAGATAGACGACACAGTATCTTGACTTGTCATCAATGAATGTCACGAAGTACCGTTTTCCACTGAAAGTTGCCATCGACATCGGTCCGCATACGTCGCTGTGAATCACTTCGAGGAGTTTGGAGGTGCGAGCTGTAGTGTTTGATTGGAAGCGCACTCGAGTCTGTTTTCCCAGAGCACAACCTTCACACACGTCCCACTTCTTCACCGAAGATATGTCGATGCCAATTCCAATGTTCTTCGTCACGATGCAATTGAGTCCATCGTGACCTATGTGGCCAAGCCGAAGGTGCCAGAGGTACGACTTGGTGCCCCCTTGACATCCCGACGACTTGGCTGCATTTGCTTGTTCCGGCGCCACTGGAGTCATTTGCAGCTTGAACAGTCCTTTACCTTCACGGGCACCAATTTTCCACTTGGTCCCTTTCGCTTTTCCATAGCACCCATCCTTCGTGAACGTCACTGGGCCGACATCCTTGGTGAAGCGGCCGACCGAGAACAGGTTTCTGGATAACTTTGGGATGTGCCACACGTTTGTGAGCACACCTTTCTTCATCCCTTGGGGTGTCTTCATCGACATGACAATGTCCCCACTGCCGATTGCTTGGACGATTCCATCATCCGCGAGATGGACATCCACAGCGTCAAACCCCTTGTAGTTCCGCATGAACTTCTTGGAGCACGTCATGTGCTGCGTCGCCCCGGAGTCGACCAGCCAGATGTCGCTCGATTTCGCAGATGTCGTTTCACCGATCGAAAAGAGGTAGTCGCCCGAGTCTTCTTCTTGAGCGACGTTTGCACGTTGTGATCGATAGCGGTCGCCGCTGTCTTGAGCACGCTGTGGCCGGTGTCTCTCCGTGTTTTCTTGGATGCGCGAGGGGCACTCCGCCATCCAGTGACCAATCTTTCCGCAATTGTGGCACGGCCAGGACTTCTTCACTGGTCGCCCTTTGCGCTGATTGTCCCTTGTGATGAACGCTTGACCTTGCGAAGCTTCATCACCTTTACTTCCTTGCTCCCTCCGCTTCATTTCTTCATGAAGCAGTCGAGACGTCACGAGCTCCCAGCTAAGAGTGTCTGAGCGCGACTCCAAAGCTGTGATCAAGAATTGATACGAGTCACTCAGGCTGCCGAGAAGTGTGATCACCAGATCGTCCTCGCAGACTGGAGCCCCCACCGCTTCTAGCTGTTCCGCCAGCGTCTTGAGCTTGTTGATGTGTTCGAGTACATCGTCGCCTTCTTCCATCATTGTCGTGAAGAAGCGACGGCGCAAGAACAGCTTGTTGGCAAGACTCTTCTTCTCGAAGTGGTCTTCCAACCTTGACCATGCGTCGCATGCACCACTTGCCGACCGGACCAACGGTAGCTGGGAATCTTCCATGGCTAGACAGATCACTGCCATCGCCTTTCTTGACTTCCTCTTGTACGTCGCTTGGTCCAACTGAGTCTCGCACTGTTCCGCCTTGATCTCACCGCTGACGACCTCCCATAAGTTCCGCTCCTCAAGCACCATCCGCATCTTGAACTTCCAGGCGTGGAAGTTAGTTCCATCGAACTTGGAGATGCGGAGGGAGGAGGCGTCCATGGCAGCTAAGCTTGAATTGTTGGCGGTTTCAGAGTCTGACGAACTTGGGCTCATAACCTGATGAACTTTAGACTTCTTGGTCCGAGTGCAAAACGCAAAGTGAATATATATTTATAATAGGTACTTAGTTCGCAACTTTGAATACTACCTCTAAGCCTATTATTCGCAGTGACGTCATCCAGTGACGTCACCCACTGACGTCACCCACTGACGTCATGCAATGACGTCATCCAGTGACGTCATTTCCTGACTTCGCCCTTACTGGTACATACCGGTACCCACCGGTATAGCGAAGCTTGGTCTTCCACTTGCTTCAACACTTGACGCAGCTTGACGAGGTGTCTTCTTCACAGCCGCTGTCTTTTCAACACTTGGTCCGAGTGCAAAACGCAAAGTGAATATATATTTATAATAGGTACTTAGTTCGCAACTTTGAATACTACCTCTAAGCCTATTATTCGCAGTGACGTCATCCAGTGACGTCACCCACTGACGTCACCCACTGACGTCATGCAATGACGTCATCCAGTGACGTCATTTCCTGACTTCGCCCTTACTGGTA